CTGTCGACTGTTTGTTCGGATTCACTGCGGCTGTTCTCTTTGCTAGTTCCCTCTTGCGTTTCCTGATCTTCTTTCTCCTGCGATCCAGCACTACAATGCGTGCTTTGTCCGTGGTGTAATCTTTTTGAAGTTTGTTGATTTTATACAAAAAAATCACTGCTTGACGTTGAGCCGAATCCATCTCTGGTGCTAAAATAGAAAAAAAAAAACGTCAACATTAATATCGTAACAAACGGTATGTCACGGTTAGGTATAATCAGCGATAATTATTTTAAGTTATACTTACTGAACGTAACCAGCGGTTTACCATCTTTAGTAGGAATTGTTATTTTGCTATGATTGTACCGTTTGCTTTCGGGTTCTAAACAAATTAACCTTAGACGAACTTGGTTCGTACAAACCGCTACCGCCTCAGTTTTGGAAGGCGATTTGGACTCGTAGAAATGATGTTCGCGATCGGGTTGCTGTTAAGGTTGATGGCGCATGGCGTTGAAAAACCCTTTGCTCGTGCTAGGCTTGTGTATGTCGCAATCAACGTTTGGATTCTTCACCCCGTTTCTTCAGCAACGACGACAGTTTTTTGTCATCAACGATTCTTCTCTTCTTGAGCTGGATCTGCTCGTCTTCGGACGACAGCGTTGACGACAACGAATGGTAATACTGAATAAAAACAAGAATAAAATGTATTCGATTATTAATTTGGCAAAACATCACGAACTATCTGTGTACAACTATCAATTACAGATTAGTAATCATATTGTTCATGAATAAAAAAAAAAAATTAAGACAAAAAGTGTTTGATGGCATTTTTTGAATTATTCTATTAATTCTTTGTGAATCCCTGAATTATTTATGGATAATTCATTATATTCAAACATAAAATTAAAGCCACCCAATACTTAAACAAGTTTATTGCTTTTTCAGATATCTCCATAACAATAAAATACCTAGTTAGTTTGAACATTTAGTGAGTTGAAATTACTGAACAATATAAAAGGAATTTGACTAGTCATTAAAAAAAAACCCCAGAAACAGCTCGATTATAATATATATATACATATAAATACACACATTATTAACAAAAGTATTTTAATAGCTCACCATTGGTAGTTCCTCTTCGATTTTTGGTTTGGCTGTAATTTGGTTAGCAGAAGCTTCTCTTTGGATTTTTTAAATAATGGCGTTTTTTCCTTCCTTTTTTTTTAAACAGTAGCTTCTTTAAATTCCTTTTTAACCTTGCTGTCCTTAGGAAGATCTTTTGATTCAGCCAGTACAGAGTCACTTTTAACAGTAGATTTGTTTCGAGCACTATTACCAGAACAAGTAATTGTTTCTTCTATTTTCGTTTTACTTGGCTTTTTAGTCACAGACTCAGTAGCCATTTCCTTTTCTTTCAAAACGATTTCAGACTTTTCTTTTTTTCTGTCAACTTTGTGTGGAATTTCAATGTTGTTCTTTAATGTTGCTGCCACCTTCTCTTCTACCCTTACGGTTTTCAAAGGCTTTTTTTCAGACAAACGGTTCCGTTTTCTTTCCGATTGTTTCAGGCCTGTATTTTTTCTTATCTACTTTCTTAGCAACATGTTTATCACTACTCTTCAAAGTTAAAGCAACCTTGTCTTCGACTTTTAAAGTTTTGGAAGGTTTTTTTGGTGTCACCGGTTCTTTGACAATATCGGCTTCCTTTATGAAAGTTTCTATTTTTTCTTTTTATTCCTTAGGTTCTAATTTAATGGCAATAGTCGTTTGCCTGTTCTTATCAAAACTGCTAGAGGGTAACGCTTTATCCACATCATGAATGATACTGCGACTAAATCTGCTTCCAGATCTCACTCCTCTAAGATGACTTATCATCAAGCAGCCGAGTTTTTGGTAGAAATCTTCAATACTATGTAGATACCTAGTACAAACAAAGTACTTATTATCATTCGCTGTTCATCAAATTAATTTCACATACATCATAACTCGTATTGTAATAATTTTTAAGTATAAATTCAAAGTGCATTAATTTTTTCGGTTTTATAAAAACATTTATAAATTATAAATTGATTTTTTCCAAACAGGATGTTATATTATTATTTTTAAGTTTACAAGGGTAATTCTTTTTTTAATAAAGTTACACGATTATTACAATATTGTTTATTTGTTCGTGGTATACTAGCGATATTTAATATTACAAACATACACTTACTGTTGGTAATATTGTTTGACAGAAGAAACACGGTTTGTGGCCAATCCTTTGTGCCAGTTATCCACTGTTAACATTTACTGACTTTGTTAAAACCGCCCAAGTTAATGACAACCTAAAACATAATAAAACACTTAGAATACGACAACTGAATTCTATATTTTATATACACATAACACATCATTGTTACAATTTCTGTACAAATAGTTATTTAAATATATTTAAAACTTAAGTATCCCGTTAAAGATAATTTATTTGTCCATAAATATATCAACTATTTTAATACTAGTATAAATCGAATTTAATAATTTCATTTAGTTTAGTAATTTAAAAAATGTTTGAATAATTTGCATACATCTTCGGACTGACAATCCGTTCCGGATAGCGAATTCATCTAGAAACAATCTCATGATGGCAGAGTTAGACCTTCAAGACCCGTTAAGCCACATCATGATGTTATAATAAACATTGCATAAGATTCATCAATCAATATCAATCTATCATGTATAACTTAATAACACACCAAAAGCAATTCAAACATATATTTTCTTCGAATCTATTTTGAAAATTGTGTCAACATAATAAAACACTGTATCAGTTAGTTTTATTAACAGCTACTGTACTGACAATCATTAAACACCCAATTGAATGTTCAATAGATTCTATTTACGCTAACGTGTACTTTAAGCTAAATTAAATATCGATTAAATACCTTGAACAGTTTGTACACATCAACATTTTTGTCGTTAATCATGGGTGCTTGGTTTTTATAGGTGTCCCTCGGACATCCATAAAATTGAATAATAGTGCCCAAAATGGTCTTCAATAGATTCTTAATTGGAGTTCTAAGAAATGTTGATAATTTTATTGTAAACAGATAAAGGATAAAAATAAATCTGTAGCATTATGACAGAACATGATAAGTCAAAGCGGAATTATCTGTAAAAGCGGTTCAGTTATTTGACTAACAATGTTAACAAAGATGGAAAATTATATTTCAAACGTGGCAAAAAAAGAATTACCTAAAATTTATAAAGAAAACTAACTAACTTCTGCCTTAATTACCAAACAGAAATGTATTAAATTTTAATTTTTTACATCAATATTATAACGCCTTCACTGTCATGACACAGTTTTTTTCGAGTCCAAACAGTAAGTCACGGTCCTAATGTGGCCGAAGTTCATCTTTGTCCAGATATAAAATCGCTTTTTCAACAGCTATAGAAATTTGAATTGTATTAACGAAAAGATATTTATAAAAATAAAATAACAATGCTATAATTATAATAAATACCCGTTTTTAAAGTAGGATTTTCTACTTTGGGGGCTATTTCTTTTGTAAATTCTGTAATTTCTTTTTTCAAAACTGTACAGCTGCAAATGGAAGTGTTGTTATGGTTAATTTATAAAAATAAACACATTAATAGGTTATTAAATTCAATTAGAATTATTTCATCAACTCACTATTTTCCATCTTTAAAAGAACGAACCAAGTAGTCTTCCAAAACGTTTGTTTTGACTGCAAATTGTGCAGTAGGCGCTAGCACTAACCCGGGAAACCAATTGTCTCTGACTTTTTTTTTGTTATTGAACTCTATGCACACCATGTTACCAATGTCTTTTTCTTCCATTTCTAAAATGTCTTCCTCTCCACTTTCCCTGTAAAAAATCAATCAAAATAAGATTATTCACACTACATAAAACCTTTTGTTAAAACTTAAAATCATTGAATACAATACCTAACTATTGAAATATAAAAAAGAGCATCAATTGTTTAAACAATTAAGATTATTTAACAGCTAAACTAAGTTTATTTAAATTATTTAGTATACAGTTAAGAATTAAGTAAAAATAAATTGTACAAAGATTTTTTTGATAAAAAATAAATATTGAATACATTTAAAAGTCTAAAATATCAAAAATAATAACTAATAAAATAATAAAACTCTTAGAAATTTGTCGTACCAACAGTGTTTTGACAATAGTCCTGTATTTTTTGAATTGTTCCTTCTTATAACTCTTTCTTTTCATTACATTTGCACCAATCTACAAAAAAAGAAACGCATGTTTTCTTGATCATACCAAATTTTGATTTAGCACATATTGCTAAAACACAAAACCTGTATATGTATATATATATATATCATAAACTAACCTTGCATTTTACTGATTTTGAGGTTTTCCTGATCTTTGCATCACAAAATGCTCCTTTATACTAGGCACTGACCTCAGTACCGACAGCAAGAAGTGGAGGTTCGACCAAATTCACCTAATCACATAAAAACAATATTAGACTACATCAAAAAATAAGTTTGTAAGAGTTAAACAATTGCATTAAAAAAAAAAAACTATAATGCTTTCCAATTAGAATATTTATAATTATATAAAAATATAACAATAGCATGCATTGAAAAGTTTGCTGGACTTAAAATATAGATTGTGAAGCCTAAATAAAATAGTGTACCTTGATGTTTTTAATAAAAATGTCAAATTATGTGTTCACATTACTATTTTACCTTAGAGTAAATAAAAAAAATGAAAATAGTTTACTAAAAGTATGTGTTCACACTTAACGTAACAATATAATCCAATAAGATATTTTTACATAATTATATTTAAACTGTTCAGTATCAAAAACATGTACATATATTTATAATTTGTAAATAGCGTATTAAGGAAATTAATTATAAACTATACACCATTGTGTTAAGATAAAAAAAAATTCACAGTCACAATTATAAGTATTGTATGACTTAAAACAATTAATACATTAACATGACAGTTGTGTGTTAGATTTCATTAAAATGTAAAGAAGAAACTCACAATTATCCATTAAACAATTATTGAGGTGTTACACCAATAGAATAATGTAAAAAATTAGTTTTTTGTACATAAATAATAAAATGGAAATAATAAGGGTGCAAATCTTTGGTTGACAAATAGTACTCAAATTATATAGTATTTCTCAAAATTATACTCCGGTCGAATAATATCCCTAGTCTTAATCAATTGCTTTCAAAAACCTGAGTACCTTGCGGTCGAGTGAGTATTCCCAAAGAAAGATTTCCGAATGACCATTTATACAGTTTAAATAGTGGTAGATTATCATTATTACATTAGGAGATTATCTTTTTACAGTGGTAGGTGATTTTGTGAGGAAGGAAAGTAATGCTAATGGTCATTATCATAATTTGATATCTGCTTGCCAACTACATAGAACCTAGAGACCACCACTGAAAAACCCCAACCATTTATAAATATTGATATTATTGTACATCAATAACCATTTTAAATGAACAAGAACCAAAATATAAACAAATATTGTTTGCAAAAAAAGCAATTGAATTTAATGTTAGAAATCTCCAACTACAATACTAGGATATTATAAAATTACCGTTATATTATGGGTTTTCAATATTGTAAGTAGTTAAGGGTTAGTTTAAATTATTCCTATTATTATCTGTTTGAATACTTATTTAACGGTTTGGCATAAACTTCCTGCAATACCTTTTTAAATTAATTAACTTTCAACAATAAATACTAACCATGATGATTTTTGTGTTTGTTTTCGTGCACAATATTATTACTAATTTACAGTCGCGTCCGTTAAATCAAATTATAATGTATATTGAATGTGATTTTGATCTGTAAAAAAACAAAAATTCAAAGTTTATTTATGGTTATATAATAATGTTATTATTTATAATGATTGAATTTATGAAACTTCTATAAATTTCAAGTAATGTCAAGTAGGTATCAAATTATCACATATTATATGCACATTATAATCATTCATAATATCATACAACTAAAGCTCGAGTTGATTTTGATAAAAAATGGTGGCTTCTTGGTATTTCTAATACAGTTTGTACATATTTAATAATATGGTTTATAACTTCTAGGTAAACTTTAGTGTAAAATACAATATAAATGTGTAAGACATATTATATAGTGTGCAGTTGTTTATCTGTAATTGGGTTAACTACTAACAAACTTAGTAACTACAAAGCTATAAAATATCAAAGATAAGAAGATAGTGTCGAAAAGTCTGTGGTAGATTAATTGCCCAGCAGGCAAGATACAAGTGTTTCATTTCCAGTCATGCTGATAATTTTTTTTATAGTTTTCCGAGTCATCAACATATTGTCTAACTTAGAATAAGCTTAAAGCAAACAAATGTCAAAAACTTAGCTATATTAGTTATTAGGTATGTATGACACACGCAGAGATGCTTGGGGATTTGTCAATATTTGTTACTATATTATCCTAATTTTTAATTAATTAAAATAAATTGACAATGCTTTTGACTGAAAATCACAAAAATATTATGTGTCAAGTTTACTATACATGATGGACTGCCATAGACTACTCTACAGAATGGAACTATAGTATACATTTATCATTCTTGTAACGTTAGTAATTATGTCACCGAAACAAATATAATAGTATAGTTGATGCAGTAGCTTGGACTTATCATAAATTTATATTTTAAAATACATACGCTTTAAATGTTAAGATTTTTATCATTAAATTTATAGGCTAGTTAAAACTAATAATTGTTTGCAATGCCTAATCAAATACTGTACTAGAAAAATAACAGTTTTTTGGAAACAAATTCGAGAAATATTATAAAGATGGATACAGTTGTGCGTTAAACAGTCAATAGACAATCGGTTATCAAGCGGACAAAAAAAAGTGTTGCGTTGAAATGAAAAACAGCACTTAGCCGAGCATACAAACAATTTACACAATATTAGATTCATTTTACTCACCATATAATGCCGCTTCTTGTTTTCTAGTATAAGAGATCGACCGACGAAGTCATCATAAACGTGGACGATGCATTTGGATCTAGAAATCAAAAAACTGAAATGATGCGATGGAATTTCGAACGTTTATTGTAGATAAAACGTATTACCTTGTCCGAAAAATAATTGCGTTTTAGTTGTTACCCGCGTTAATTCGTATCTCAAATACACTGTAAAAAGAAAATTTAACGACTTTTTTTTGTACTTTAAAGGCCAGCTAAAGCCACTTATAGTAGGCGGTAGCTGTGTAGGTAAATACAAAATGTATTTAATCAATGGCTATTAGCTGAAGACAATTTATTAAACGGCTCATTTACATTTTACACTAATCGTCAATCGACGACGATTTTGATAACCGAATGTGGCCAAAACATAGACCTATAAAGAAATGGACTGAGAGTAGAGAGAGAGATCGATATCGTTATAAAGAGACAGAGATATTTGTCAGGTATGGCATTGAAGAAAATATAATATCACGGAAAAATAGTAACATGATAATACCCGATAACGAAATTTTAATATTTAACATATTTAATTAATTTTATTTATAGGTTTATGGGCCAAAACACTGAACTCAATATATATTTTTCAATTCATAATTTTTTAAAATAATTATAAACATTAAAAATTGTTTTTATGATCTGGTAACGAGTATCGTGTGACATAGTTAAAATAAATGATATACTCTTTGACTTTCAAATATGAGCGGGCTGACGGTAAACAGCAAAACCAATTGAAATATTGAATTATCGAATATTGCACTGCAATACATAAATATCGAATTTATTTATAAAACTTTTTAACCTATACACCTTATAAACCTCATACCTCAACTTTTTCCTTATATTTGTTTTAATTTTTTTTTATTGCAGTGCCTATTGTACATGTTATATTCGCATTTTACTCGTAACTTATTTTCTTATCGTAATGCTCCCTTGCGAGCCGTACGTACCTATACTTAAAAATAAAATTCCACATATTATTATAACAAAATAGCGTACGAAATGTCCGTTATTATTTTGCCTACGGTATTTATTGATTATTATTTTGATCGTGTTATACTCGACTGAATACTTAAAATCCGTTTAGCTGTGTACCGGGTGATTGGTTAACTATGGACCACTCAATATCTTAGAAGATATTAGACTTTTTTAATTTTTTTTTTTTTGTACTATTATAGTTATTAGGTGGGACAAATTTAATGTATTTTTCAAAATTTTAACACCATCCCTTATGCGTTAAAACCATATCAACTTTAGATTTTTAAATGGTAACCCCCAATTTTTTTTTGATGATCGTGTTTATTTTTTTTAAATTTAATTTTAGGTGTAAAAACTAGCTAAATCAGACAAGTACTTTTAAAGTTATAGCTTAGTACTACACTATTATAATATTAGCTTATATGAGATGCTTTTATAAGTTTTACAGCTAAAGAAAAAAATCGTTTATCGCCGGATCTCACGTTTCACAAAATAAGATTGATTAACGACACGGTTGTAGATTAAAGTTAATAGTTGACGGTCGTCGGTCACAATGAAAACGAACTAATAATAAATCTATAGTAATATTTATATAGGTAATGTCTCCTTATCTGTTTTTTCTGTAGTGTTCCTAGCGGTGCGGTGTACCTGTACGTATTGAATATTAGGCATTAGCTGCTGTTAACAAACAATATTATAAGCCCTAGTAAATAGTTTTTTTTTCAATTTCAACCATAGGTTACCGTGGTCTAATCACGGTGTTATATAAAGTGTATACCGTGGTTCTACCAAAACAATTCGTTACTAGCGTAGATTAATATCAACACAGAACAAATTATTATAAAAATACGACTACTTGAAAACTAATCAAAAAGTTCATTATTCTAATTTTTCAATTATTATGGTTATTTAGCGTCTTGGTTTTTACTTTAAATATTTAGCGTCTTGGTCTAAATAAGTATTACTTGTACTGGTGTCTTAACTAATCAAATTATTAATTCTGTTAGTGAAAATATTTTTAAAAAAACTAATAAATAACATTTAATTTTTTGTTTTTTTAGTATAATATTGTATTACATACAGTTAATAGTTAATATGTACAGAATATATACAGAAATAAACAAAAACTAAACTTAATATGTACAGAAACTATTTTAGCATTTTTGTTCGAACTGGTTTATGATAGGTACATAAGATGTCAAACAACATCTTTATAAGGCATCTATTGTGTTTATTAAAATGTTTAGATAACAAAGGATTCCATAAGAAATACGTTCATCCAATACTTGTGCACTAAAATAAATTTTCATTTTTATAATTTAAAGTTGTAACGCGTCAATTTTAACTATTTCTAGTTCAGTATTTTTAATTATTAAAAGCTGTATTTATTTATTACTAAATTTATTTATTACCATTTTTACTCTTTATTATATTACCACCTTAAGCCTATACTGCATATATTTCATAGTATTGACTATTCTTACTTATTTTAATGTGTTCATATGAACAGTAAAAGTATATTTCTTATTTAATAAATGGTTGTTTTTCTCGTTGTACGAGGTATAAGCAAAAATTTAGAGTGAATGATAAAGTACAATTTTTTTTGTTTTTGTACGGCTTTTTTAACAGTCATAAGCTTAAAATTCAATAATAATATTACTAACAAACATTTAAATACTATATTATGTTATGTTTATTATGATAATAGTAAAATAAAAAAACAAGTAACAAGATAAATAATACGCTTATAAGATACGAATAAACATTTTTATTTGCTAAATCATATTAAAAAACTAAGACTAAATAAAATTAACATATCTATAATTAACTTGTAAATAATAGAGGTACAACATATTGCTGTATATAGTGATGTAGTTATAGGAAGTTATCTAGGGCGGTAAAGTTTGTTTGATGATTTCCCACTAGAAGAAATCCATCTCCATTTACTTATTTAAGTTAAAAAATATTTATAAGTATATTCATTCAATTTACTTTTTTACACTTAATCCCATAGTTAACATTTTTTTCTTTCTATTTTGTGTTTTATAATTTTATTTACTTTATTACTTATAAAAACTTAATCGTAAACCACTAGAAAATTGTCAATAAATTCTGTAATAGCTAATGCCAAAACTATGCCATCATGAAAATAATTTCAAGATTTGGATTAAGACAATAACATATTTTAGAAATATTAACATTCTCAGCAGCATTTTAGATTAAATTAATATTAAATAAAGAATTCATCATTAATAATTAATAAATAATGTATAATAATTATAGATATGTTAAGTATATGTGTGTTTAAATACTTAGAGTTTAAAAACTTTATGTCACTTTTAAAATGATAAAGTACTTTTAAATTATTTTATTGAATTACATCTTTAGCTGAATAACTAAATATATATAGTTGTCTAATATTTGATTTGAACTTGTGAATCCATCTTATTCTTTTTACTGACTTAATGGAAAACCGTTATCTGCAATAGTGTGCCACAGTAACTAAAAAATAATAATAATAATAAATTGTTAGAGATGAATTCATAGAAATTAACTAAGTTATTGCAAACTGATGATCTTATATATTTTACCTTAAAATAAAACACCTATAAATTTACTGAAAATTGAATACCACAACATTCGACAATGTATTAATGGAATTAGTTTAGACTGATTGACTACAATAATATAATACACCAAATTTGACGTTGGTAGTAGTGTAGTTGTAGACAATAACAAATATCAATTTAAGTTGAGATAGTCCATATTAATATTGAACATACTGAAACATATAATTAAAATAAATTAAATAGGTTTCTTAGATACTTAAATAATCATATGGTTAAGCAACAAATATCAGTATACACATATATTTTTTATAATTATACAAGTATGATAATTTTTAAGTTAAACGTTAATTTTTAAGTAGAGCATTATAATTAAACATATTAAGTATGATAAACATAAGTAATCCAAAAAATGTATTATGTAAAAACATTTTATATGTTCATGAATAATAAAAAAAGATTAATTATATTTTTCTAATAAAAAAATGTACTTATACAATACACCTATATCAATAAATACATTATCTTACCTATTATTGATTCAGTAAACGATGATTGAAGATTCAATTTTTTCATAAAAAATTTTATATTTTTTCTTTGAATTCAGATACCAATATGTTAAAACACAAAACTACACATTTATAAGTTTCTCAGAACAAAGACATAATACTGTAAAAATAAAAGTTTTAATTAAAATATCATCAAGCATAATTCAAATTATAATAATTTTTTTTTTAAATAACATTTTATTATTATAAGTACCTTTAATTTTGATATTTGATGTGCATACATTTTATAAGTAAGGTTTTAGGTTTTATAGACTTGTCACTTGATCAAAACTCCATCTTGGTATTCACATTGATTATGGATATTTAATATCAATGTTATTATTTAAAACACAATAAATGTTGACAAGTTCATAGATCTAGACTCTAGTAAGTTATGATACTATATTATTATAATATACTATGAAATTAAGACGTACAAATCGCAAGAATAAACAAAATGTGTCAAATTAACCAAAACAAATAATTGCTAAATGCTGGAAAAATATACACAAGATATTGATAACAAATAAAACATATTTTACTACCCATTTTACTACCATATTATCCTACTATTTTACAAAATAAATGTAAAAGTGTGTAGTGGTGGTATATTTGTCAGTCGATATAGCGGTTATCATTATTATTTACTATCGGTGAATTATTTACCTAAAGTAAATAGTGTTTGGTACGGTTATGATTTTTAAACGCTACAATAGCTATTGTCAAAGTTAATTGTCAATAAATAATAACAGAGAGCAGTCACATTAATATGTTAGCGTCTCCAAGATATTTAATTTATTTTTTACACTCCCTTTAATTTTAAAACTGTGTAGCTCGTTAACTACTCAATCGATTTAGCTAGTTTTTACGCCTAAAATTAAATTTAAAAAAAATAAACACGATCATCAAAAAAAAATTGGGGGTTACCATTTAAAAATCTAAAGTTGATATGGTTTTAACGCATAAGGGATGGTGTTAAAATTTGGAAAAATACATTAAATTTGTCCCACCTAATAACTATAATAGTACAAAAAAAAAAATAATTAAAAAAGTCTAATATCTTCTAAGATATTGAGTGGTCCATAGTTAACCAATCACCCGGTACAATAGCCTACACTCTATATCATGTTGAGTAGCTGTATTGATTTTAGTGCCCGGGCGCGCTATAGTCGAGCTCAGTGACCGTGAAACGTACTATAGTTTGAAGTTTCACACTCGTGCGGTATTGATTAATTTATGTACCTATAGTCTACAGATGGGCGATGGCGAATGCCGGATGCCCAATTAAATATTAATACATTTCTCAATTTCTAATATATTTATTTGTTGTTATTGTTAACTTTTGCACCGGTTTGTTTGTGCGATTTTTTATTTCAATTATGAACAATTCAAAAAGTGTTTCATACCGCAAATGTGGTGTGAAATACCGTAAGAATAGAAATTCGCTACATTCAGCTAAATATGTAATTAGTCACTTCACGTTACCGAAGGACTCTGAAAGGTTAGAATATTTAAATTAACTTCGGTATTCTTATTGTCTTCTTTCTACTTCTGCAATTCGCTATTTTTAATCAAATGCGGAGACCGTTTGACTGCGTATTGAGTGTTGGATGTTAATAAGACAGCGGTAGACAGCACATGACAAGAATGCCTTACCTTTTTAAAATATTAAATAATGTAATATATCACATAAAGTATTTTATTGATTGAGAATTGTGTCCCCGAACTGGCTGACAAAAACGTTGTCGTTAAAGATTATTTTGAAGACAAAAATATGGTCCTGAATGTTAATCGTAGAAACAGGTTAACAAATAATGCTGTCCCTACCCTCTTTAACGGTAAGATATTTGTAAAATTATTATCAATAATATTTTCTAGATAGTAAAAAATATATACTGTGTATAATATATTTGTATATTGTATTTGTATTATATTTTTGTAAGGACTAACGATTATTGGCGTAACTGAATTAGGTCATAACCATAGCATATTAGTAGTATTATTTTTATTTGCGCATACTTCTTCTTCCGCCCTAACTTTTAAACTTGTATAACTTTGAAAAAAAGTGGTTCAAAACTGGTTATCAACTAGTCAACACTTTAGGTAAAATATTCTTAATTTAATAAAACATAAACGTTACCTTTTTGAGTTTCAAAAGTTGATATTAAAAAAACAATTTGGTAGGAACATACAAATTTGTAGAAAATATTTTTAAAATTAAAGAGTTACAAGTCTTTTGAAGGGCAAGTGGTGATTATAATATAAAATTAATTTTATTATTTATTATATTTGTATTTAAAGCTTCTATTTGTTTGTTAATGCCTTACCTTTTTAAAATATTTAATTATGTAATACATCACATAAAGACGTATTTATACTGATATACTTTTTATTGTTCTAGACGTGCGATGTGGATTGAGAATGGTGTCCCCGAAGTGGCTGACAAAAACGTTGTCGTTAAAGATTATTTTGAAGACAAAAATATGGTCCTGAATGTTAATCGTAGAAACAGGTTAACGGATAATGCTGTCCCTACCCTCTTTAACGGTAGGATATTTGTAAAATTAATATCAATAATATGTTCTAGATAGTAAAAAATATATCCTGTGTATTATATATTGTAAGGACTAATGATTATTGGCGTAAATTAATTAGGTCATAACCATAGCATATTAGTAATATTAGTTGATATTAAAAAAAACAATTTGGTAGGAACATACAAATTTGTAGAAAATATTTTTAAAATTAAAGAAGTTACAAGTCTTCTTTTGAAAGGCAAGTGGTGATTATAATATAAATTTAATTGTATTATTTATTATATTTGTATTTAAAGCTTCTATTTGTTTGTTAATGAGGTATTTTTATTAAAAGAGTTTTTTTAAACATTTTGTATAGGAATTGAACAGCTATTTATTAAAACATTTGTATTTAATTGAAAATGTTTTAAAACATCTAAAAATATATGGTTGAGGTGTATAAAACTGAATAAATAAATAATGTTCACAGCTTAGTTCAACTGTAGATTTTTTGGAAGTATGGACAATTTTAGTGCATTTCAATTTTAAATTAGTTACCGTCTCACTAGCTGTGGTGGTTTTATTTTCATTAGCATGTCATTCTACTTAAAAAACATAATATTTTCCTTCAGTCGCCACTAATAAAATAACTTCCTATTTTCCATTGAATTTACACTAGCACCATCTGAATCAACACTTTTAATGATACCCAGGCACTAGAGGTCTGTGCGGTCCTAATAAAATGGGACCGGACCATGAAATTGAAAAATACTACTTATCCGGACCGGACCGACACGTAAAATATTATTTTGTAACTCGGACCAACCCGGACCGGGTTAAGATGACAATTTTTTTTTTAACCGATAACGCGATAGGCGACAAGTGATAACGATAATATTATAATCAATACTAGTATAAGTGTATTATGTGTACCGTGTACGACAGACGACAGTTGGTTTTCAGTTTTTACCTGGCGTTAACCGTTTGTCAATCAAATTAACTGTAGTAACCGGACCGCAAAAGTCAGGATCTATAAACAATATACATTGTATATTATACAATAATTATTACTTGACTAAAAGATCATTTTTTTTATATATATATATATATATATGGTCAAATGAGATGGGTCATTACTATTTACTCCTTAATAATATGTGATGCTGGCCGCACAATAAATATCATTAGTTGTTGTGTATTGTATACACATTTTGTTAATGTTGGCGTCAATGAGAGGCGATTTTTTTTTGGGCGGGGATTTGTCGCGTGACGTTTTGAAGTGTAACCGTTTCATTTAATTGTCAAGGACCTGCATAGCCGTGCAACGTTGCACAGCGTAGCGAAACGTCGCGCAGCAAAATGTTGCAAATTGCATATTTTGCCATCGATCGGCTCTTCTGAAGGTGAAGTTAAATACGGTTAGGTTAGGTTGGTCGCCGGTGTTACGGTCTCGGCCAGTATCGTTACTCGTCGGCCGACACCGGCATGGTCTGCTGCTTGTCTGTACGCTGTCGGCGGCGGCGTCTCTGATTCGGACGGGCGGGTAGTGGCTGATAAAACTTAAACGTTGCATAGCGTTGCGAAACGTCGCGCAGCAAAATGTTGCAAAATGCATATTTTGTCATCGATCTGTTAGGGGTAAGTTATGTACGGTTAGGTTAGGTAGGTCGCCGGCGTTACGGTCTCGGTTAGCCTCGTGACTCGTCGGACGGCAGTGTACGCCGTCTGCGTCTGGTCCCTTCGCCGTCGGCGGTTATAGTGGCGGTGACACGGAGGTGTCTGCGTTCAGCCCCCTCGCCGCGCCGTCGGCGTCGGTGGTTGGGGTGACGAAGGCGCGGGGGCATCTAAGCTTTTACCTGGCGGGTAGTGGCTGATTTACCAAATTATCAGCGCGGCAGCTGTAATAGTGATTATTTTTTATCATCACATGAGTGTAATTCTTTCATTATTCATTATTGCATTAATTATCTCAATATGAGTGACATTACACTATTATCCCTGTGGTCAGGGAAGAAAGAATTCTACCAAAGGCCTCACACCTGCCATAAAAGGCGACTAAAGTGACGTAGAGCCCTCCGTTAAGTGGCCTTTTAACAGGTCACTTCTTCTTGAGACACACCTTCCCCGGCCCGCAATTAGCACCCAGTGCTACTAGTCGGTCCGCGGTCGTAGGGGATCCCTTCGGGACGAACCACTAAAGCCAAGGAACACCTGACATTACACTGAGCCCCCCAAAAATGATGTGGGTGTTTACGTGTATAATAGATGTTCTTAAGATACAGGATACATTTTAAAGTTCTATAATATCTAAAAAATGAATAATAAAATAAATATAATAGTAACAGTTATTTATTATTAATATAACCACTTAACTTTTCGTTTTGCATGATGATGCAAAAGTATGAGATTACGGAAAAAAGAAAAATCACAGCGACAGGTAGAAATACGTTGCAAATCCAATAACAACACATATCAAGACACTTATTTTATAATAATATGGTATTGTTGTGTCATGCATCATTCGAATAAAACATTATCCAAATAATCATCTAGATAACACGTTATTCGAGTGAAAGTTATTCGAATAACTTTTTCAAATTTAATTGTTCGAAAAATTTTCAAAATAATTAATTCGAATAAATTTAAGACTAAAGTACTTGAATAATTGCTTTATGTGATTTGTTCGGTTGTACGCTTAAAGCCAATTCAATCATATTAGGTTTATAATTTGGAACTTTTAATGAAGTACACGCGCAGCACTGAATTTATCCGTTAGTGAATTTCTCAAGTTTCTTAGTAAGCAACTGGAATACTGTGGAGTAGGTATATTTCCTTACTTTTGTCGAAGTCACAATAAGTCTAACTTAGTTTAAATTATACGATATTGTAACATAAATCATAATGCTAATTATAATATTAATGACACTAAATGATGATTTTATAATAATGGTCTTACACTTCATTATGAAAAGACTACATTTTTGTGTTTAATAATTAAAGATAAAAACCATTAAATTAACAACAACAAAATATTCTTTTATACGTATAATTGCAATCAGTGTATACTGTAAACATAATATTTTGGTCTTGTCATTGAAAACCTAATTAAGTACATTTTACATTAACCCAAAACTGTAGGCAATTTTTTTTTTTAATTTTAAAAATATACTGAACATATTATACTAAAGAGTCATGGAGTAGAAATTAAATCAACTAACACCGATGACTAACGAATATCACTATGGTTCTTACACAAAAGAGCTATCTAAAAAAAATTTAGTTAAATGAAATTAAAAAAACTAGACAAAATATTTCAGCATTCTTAAGATAAGAAAGATAGGCCAAATCGCAAAACAAACTGTCCATTTTCATGAAATAATACAACATTATAAATAAATATACTGTTTTATTCATCCATTATTGTTTTATTCATTCATTAAACAATAAATAATATGACGCATAATTATTGAAATACTATTATCGGGTAGGTATGTGATAAAATGTACAAGGGGGGTTATTAGAATAATATTATTCAAGTCCCATCATTTAAATGTGAGTATTTATTTAAATATACTAAGTCCCGTCAGACTATGGAATAAAATATGTGATATATAAAAAAATATATTTTTGTCCTAGTGGGTACACTGCATTATGGAAAAATTGTCATTCCATCCCGGGTTTTAGATATACCCCTAGAACTGATTTAGTGGGTGCCGACCATAGAGTAATAATATAAAGAGATGAAATACATACCTATACTAGCTTGTATGCAAGAGCGAAGTAAAAAGTAGGACTAAAACTAGTATGACCACTTAAAGGAAAAAAAAAGTCTATTGTTGAACAAATAAAACAGCTAGGCATTGTGGTTAATTAATACAAATAAATAGCTAAAACTTATATACCTTATATACAAGTTAATAATAATACATTTTATATTATATTTTATCGAATTTAAAAGGCAATATTTTTTCAAAATACTGTTATCATTGATATCCTATCACCACGATATATTGAACGATGGTTATTTTCTTCTATCTTAGCAGACTGATTTTAGTCCTACTTTTTGCTACACATTAATACTCTATAACTAGTTTGAACATACTATCCACATATTCGCATGGAAGCGTTTATTTAAAAGTGATTTTATCACTTTCAGTTATGATAAAAGCTGTAGACCCGTGACCTCTCCGTCCCCACTATGCCCCGACTCCACTGTACTGTTATTTGTTTATTTCAAATTTATAGACTTGCTACATGAAAAATTCGGTTTAGCCTCGATAACTTTTGCTATGTATGGACATTTGATAATAATACGGGGTCGAAGGTTTGACGCCGCGGAAAATAAATGAATAACTCGCGCCGTTAAACGAATTACTCATGGCGAGAGGTACATAAATATAACATAAATAACATTATTATACTGTACGGACAATAAGTGTGGATAGTGCACAATGTCGGAAAATTGTGAAACCGAGTATTTTCTTTGACGCGGCGACATAGCCTTAGATTATATATATATATATATATGTTAAAGGGAACCAGACGGGTATAGACTTAAAAAAACCACCACAATAGACTTCGAGTAAAGTGATGGAACATATAGTAAGGGCGGCGTAATTAAATAACTCCGATACATTTGAGAGCTTCGATGCTAATCTGTATATAGTACAATTATTAAACAACGATAAAAATCAATGAAAAGGCTTAAAGTTGTCTTATAGGATTTTCCTAAAACAGTCACCCGCCTGAAGCCCAATGCCGCAGCCGACTAGCAAAGCGTTATTAATAATATTATATAACTAGCCGGAACTTGGATCTCTTCACTTTAGAAGAATTTTGGACTTGGATCCAATAATGTACTCTTTAACAGAGTTATTACCTTAGTGTTTAAGGTTTATCGTGCCACCTAGAGATAGCCATAACAGGGGGGGGATAGGGGTAATTGCCCTTGCCCTTGGCTTTTGACATTTTTATGTCTTTTCTATGGCACACACACGGAAAATCGACATCGGTTAACATAACGACACCGGC